TGCAAAATATGCAAGGTTTCTGAGGAATGAGTGCAAAGTATGCAAGGAGTCACTAAGGGGCAAAATATGCAAAAGAGGGGGAAAGAAAATATTACTAAATTATGTCTGGCAAGGTATGCATTGATTGTTGTATGTATGTTGCTGTATGGTATATGTATCTCTATCTCTGGTTCCCTACATGTATCAATATATATATATATATATAAATAACTATTGATCCAGTAAGAAATGAAATATGGCTTGAGTGAGTCACTGTATGTAAAATGAGGTGTATAATTTGAATATGTCATAATAATGAAGGAAAAACAAGTGAATATACAGTGAAATAATAGGCCTATGTAAAGGCATGGGTTGCCACAGCCGCAACCATCTCTGAACTACCTGTCTGCATAGGATTCAAAATGATCCATATTCAAGTGTCCCTCCAAGTGAACGACGGCCCCTAGTGGCATCTATACAACCTTCTGGAAATCCAATTTGTTTGTGATGGCAACCGTAAGCTCGATGATTTTGCGATGAAACACTTGATGGAGCTGTGGAAACAATCACAGAGAATACAAGGGAGATCAGCACATGAAAGTGAGAGAGAATAGAAAATGTAATACTCACAATCTGAACTAGAGCTCTAATGTAGCTATTGTAGCTGAATCCAGCTTTGCCATAACATCCACCAACCAGATAGTTGAGGTGTTCCATTACACCATGAATGTGATCTTGGGTCAGGTTTGATTCTCCAAGTTTGGCTATGATCTCATGTCCAAGGGATATTAATTCTTCTGCTAGGCTCTCTTGTTGCTGGTGTTGATTGGTACTGAGGTTGGCAGTTGAGGGCATTGTATCTGCAAAAAGAGAAAGTCAGAACGCACACTCCAAGGAGTTAGAGAGCTTTGGAAGTACAATTTGAGCAACATTTTCCGAAATAAGCATACCTTATTTCCCAAATTAAATTGCTATAATATTGAAAACGGGTTTGGGATCTTTTGAAATACTAGATATCTGGGGGTAATACAAAAACGTTTAAGGAATATCAAGAGAAAGTCAGTTGAACTTGAAATCCACTCAGATTATAGTAGTACCCACCAAGATGTGTGTTCAGTATCACTGAACTTTGGTCCTTTGTGAGTTGCTACACCAAGTCAGGTAAGTGGTCTGGTTCTTGGATTAACTCTTGAAAGGAATAACTATTTACATAAGCCTTTTTATTGGAGGTTCGGGGGCCTGACCTTGCATCCTGGAGGCCGCACCTCCTTGAGGGGTGTCAATTTTTCCCTTGAGGGAGGTCACAAATCTTGTCGGATTTTTCTTTTTTTTTTTCTTAGGTGCTTCTTCAGACCACCTTCAATTCCCACTTCCCCACCTCTTGTGTGGCACATTCCTCTGGTTCCATTTAGAAGGGTTTCTGTGCTTAATATGCATTATTTTTGCCTTTGAAAAGAGGCACCAACATCATACATATGGCCTCAAATTCAGAAAATCATTTTAACTTGTGAATGAGATAACTGACCTAAAGAAACCCCTGTGAAAGAAACATTATTTTGGGTCAAAGGTAAATAATCAGAAAATTTATCATTCCACAGACACCAATTTCCTGTTGTTGCATGTTTTGGTATGGCAATAAAGAAGAGCTCAGACAATAATATCAAGAATTTAGTTTCAATTTTGAAATTCCAATTCTTTGTTTATGGTCAACCACATCCAGATTTTGATTTTTCTCAGTTGACTAATCCCAGAAATATTTTATTTGTGCAATTATTTCCTCCCCAGAATTTCTTCATAGAAGTTAATAGATGTGCATTTAAATTGTATACGGACTGAAATTACCTTTATAACATTTCATACAACCAAGACTGATGTTAGTCCAAAATAGTAAATACCAGATGAATTTAAGAGATGAAGTTAGGATGAATGTAAATTCTATTATTGTAGACATTCAAGTATTGTTTATCAAAAATTCATCCATTTATAAAGTTGCTCCTCATTTGAAGGTTACCAAGCTTCAAAAGTTAAGATTTTTTTGGAGAGAAACAGGGCTCAGATCTTATTGAGAGGGAGTGTGAATCCTTGGACTTTCTTGGATATGAATCAGGTTTTATGGTCATTGAATACCTTACAAAATTTTGAACCTCACATGAAACAGAGTTTAAAAATTTCACATCAAGTATTGAGATGAAAGAAGCATCCAAACCAAATCAAGTTCCTCTTATTTCACACAGGAATCCATAAAAAAAAACAAGTGAGCCAAGTGTTAGACTCTGTATAAATGACTGAAAGAATTATTTTGAATGGGATTAGATTTGGTTGGACTAAGGCCAGTGATGAGGTGTGCAGGCCATCGTTAGGCAAAAAGATTAGAGAAATGACAGCTTTGATGATTGAAGTCTCTTTCAGCAATGTTGCAAGGAGTTGTGAACCATACATAGACCCAGAGAGATCAATCAGAGCATCAACTAAAGGAACTCGGATGGTTAACACTGCATTGTTGAGCAAGGTGATAGTAGGTTCAAGAAAAGAATTTGGAGGCCTTCCTAGAGGGAGCCACGAGATATTGGCAAGGTGGTCAATGTGGGCGCAGTGAGACAACAAACGTATGAGGAGGGAATACACCTTCATGAAGTACTGATTTGATTCTGAATAATAATTAGAAATGTTGTAAATCTTAATCCAAACTGGTTTGGAAATATGAATACTGAGATGTGAGACATCAACCAATTTTAACACATCCTTGTTGGTCTTAGATGTAGTCTCACTAAGCTAATGCAGAACAACAGATAAGTTCTCAAATTCATGAAACACTATCTTTTCACTGATCAGTTTGGCTTGAGGTTGGACTTTTGCCCACTGGCCTATCTTATGCCAGCTCTCATACCAACGGTGGGCCGCTACACTAACCGTAGCGGTTAGTGTAGCGTAAAGCAGCAGAATTGCTGTTAGCAATTAGCGTAGCGTAGCGGAATTCCGCCACGACACCGCTAACGCTACGCGTGTGGGCCGCAAAAAAGGGCCCACTACGCAGCTCTTCAGTGGTTTTTAGCGTTTTTTGGCCGCTTTTTCCGCTAAAAGCGCTGTAGCGCAGCGTAGCATAGCGAAAAACTGCTAAAAAACCGCTAACACTACGGTTTTTGGATGAAAAAAAAGCGCCGCTACGCTATGCTTTTTGGGCCAAAAGCGTAGCGGCCCACCGCTGCTCATACGCTAGATCAATGATAAATGGAAGCAAGACGCTTAGAAATTGCTGGACCCGGGTGCAGGCTATTGCAAGCTCTGGGGGCAAGTTGGGTGACTTGTTGTGAGGATTGAAGATACAAGAACAATGTCCAAAGTTGCCAGTTTATCTGACACTTCTTCTGCCATTGTCCAGGAATACAAACCCAACTGGCGCAGTAGTTTAGCCCAGCAAGCATAGAACTTTGGAAGGTGCTCTCCAGAATTGGTTATGTGGTCGAGGATTAGTTGAGTGCTGCTGTCATTGGGGTGCTGATTCAAGGGGGAGTGGTTGGAAGAAAATTGAGTACATTTCTTGCTAGGTTGTGAGGTAGAGGTGGAAGCATTTGAGGAAGGAAAAGGAACAGTAATTATTTTGGATTTTGATTTGAAACCATTAGCTTGCTGAAAATAGCTGTTGTGACCTGTTGATGAGCATGCCTACTTGCAGAGCTGATCGAGCTACTTTTGTGGCTTCTGAGCTTTTTAGGATGAATGCTTCCGGTTTCAATCTCAAGCCCATTTTCAACTTGTTTGTCATGGCAGTCTTTTTGCAAATTAAAAAAAATCAATACATTGATTGTAGATTTGAATCAACTCAAGAAGAAAGACATAGCATACAGACATAACATACCATCCACAATGAGGCCAATCATCATGCTTGTTGTGGTGAGCCAAATCAAAACTTCCAAGCCTCAATGCACTGCGCAATTAGGACAAGAAGACCCCAAACACCTTGGTCCTCAGGCCAGACAGCAACCTCAAGGCACCCAGACCACATGTGGGGGAAGAAAGTCCCATCTCAGACAGAGCCAGGGTATTAGGAACCCTCCTTGTTTTCTCTTGTTTCTTTCTTTCCCTTCCTGGAGATACTGCATATGCACTCCTCTTTCTCTTATCTCTCTGTTTCACACTAATGCACCCACTTGGGGATTAGTATCTTACCTCTATGCATGTGCCTGCATGTGGCTATACGTGTTTCAGACTTATGTACCCATTTGAGTAAGCAGGCTATGTCATTGTCTCCTCTTTGGTCTTAGCAGCCACCCTCTGGGCCATAGTGTTTCAGTTTGATATTTTTCACTTGTTCTTTTTTCTCAAACCACAAGCTGGCCACTCCCCAGATTTTGTATATAAGGAGCCATGTCAGCTTGCTACTATGGCAGAGACAACCTGTCATAAGCAAATAAAATAATAAATTACATAAAAAATCTAAGTATAAAGTAAAAATATTACATAAGTAAAATAAACACTATTGCTTATGTAAATAATATAAAAACACATAAAAAATAGAATCAACTTAGGAATAATATATGATTATTATTGCAGATTCTGAATCTACATACAATTTAACCTAGAGTACCTTAGCCAAAGGTACCCCTAATTGTAACTCCTTCATCCAGTAATACTCACTTGAATAATTAACGGGTGCCCATAGATCAAGGGCACCTGAATAATTATGCATCACACACAACAATAAGCATATACTGCAAATCTTGTCTCATATTTGGAGTGTTGTGTATAGTTTAGAAGATAGAGTTGAGTGGCATGTATTGTCTCCAACTTCCAAGCCCCCGTGCTGCGTAGTCATGCTTCGCACTGTTGACAGGCGCGCTTGACTACAATTGAGCCCAATACTCAAGCCCCCACGCGTACTAGATATGCATAACCACCTTGGATACACGCATAAAACCCCCCTGGGTTACCAGTATCCAAGAAATGGGCCACAAGCTCCACGTAACAGACTAGCCCCTACCCACAGGCTCCTAAGGGATATTCTTGGTTCAAATAAATTCGTGCATGACCCCTTGGAGCTTCTAGAATATTATCCCCAAGGTTTCAGCCCTTGTTGTGTCACCATGTGGGCTAAAATGGGCCCAAAAGCGCTCCCAAGACCTACTAAGCTCCCCTGAGCAACCCCTGAGGCCTTCCACAGGTATTTAAAGGGCCTTCTGACCGCCCAAATAATGATCCCCCAGCTTTACAATACTATATAGAAACATACTTACCATTTACAAGTCCCCTACACTTGTAATTAGCCTAGTTATTACTATTTTTACTGTTATTAAGCCTCAAGATTCCTCAAAGAAATTCCCCAGTTATCACACAGCACCCAAAATCAACCATTCTGAGCGCTCCCAACTGTCCAGTTTCTACTAATAATATCCTCAAGACCCCTTTGGATTATTACTAGTAAGTAATAACCCTTTCTTGAAGATTTTCACTAAAAATTAACTCCTGGGATTTAAACCACACCTGCTACAGGCCCCAGTGTACCAGGTACCTAAATCCTCTGCTTTTTGCACAATACCTTAGAGGGATTAAACCACCCCTGATTTATCAGGCCACTCTGGTTTAATTTATGTTAATTTTATTAATATAAATTAGCCAATTTTTGGATTTTATCCATAAATTCTACGTAATTCTTCTGAATTACTTATACCAGTTTTATCCCTGAGTTTTTACCATAAAAATTCTTACTTTTTGCACCTTGTGTAGCTAGAGGAGACGTGTCTTGGCATCACATAGTCTGAAAAGCCATGTTTTCCCCTCATCATTTGTTCCCTCATCAGTTCCCTGACGTGCAGCCTGGTCACATAGTTAGCTTATAGTTTTTAGACATAGTTAGCTTATAACTTTTAGTCATAGTCCTTAGTCATAGTCCTTAGAAAAAGTCCTCAGAAATATTATCACACGTTTTAGTCAGAAATAGTCCGCTACATCTTCAGAGAGTATTTGAACTCTCCTTGTCTACTACCTTATCACCTTTCACAGGAGGGCAGCCTTATTCACGGCGCATTTACCCTTCCACACTCTATCTGATCCCACCGGGTAGTTCCACAAGTGGTGTCCCAACAGTGGCCCAAGGATCTTTAGATTAAACAGTCAAATTTTGGTTATCCATTACAAAATTAAGACAAAAACCCTCAAAAAAGTTTTTACATTACTATCATCACTATCTCCTGCCTTTTGCCACACTTAAAATTTCATAAAAAAATACCAAAAATTATTAGATTAGATTTACTTCATAGCTTCTAGAAATTTCTTACTGCAACCAGCCAGTTCCTATAAAACTCTACTTGTCCAATGTTGGACAATTACCAAACAACTTAACTTTCAACCCTGGACCATTCCGTGATCAAAACAATGTCTTGGAAAATTTGACCTCAGTGACTTGCAAATCATTTTGCAAGTCACACTCTCATGCATGGAGATTTTCAAAAATGGCTTTCTACTAGCCACATCTAGCCTTATAATGAGTAATGGGAGCTGAACATGCATGCTTGGTTGTGCAGATTGATTTGCAAGCCCCTTTGCAAGGTATTTGCACTCAACTCTGAATCCCACTATTATTGGAACCCTTGCTTTAAGTCTGCATGATATTTGTCAGGAAGTCATAGGGTAAGAGACTTGATTCATTCAGTTACGTATGTCATAATTGTGCTCAGAGAAGTCAAGGAATCAAATGGAAGAGCATAATTTGCAAAGTAAAAGGTAATGTGGGAGAAGAAAACAGGCAAAAATAGGGCTTTCTTACTCACAAACTCATAATTCTGAAAAAGGTCTTTTTTGATTGAAGTTTGGGAGCTAGAGTTTAATTCGGATTGGGGAGGTCTTTGACTGGATTTGTCTGCTCTAAGCAAACATCATGCCTCCACACTTAGACGCATTACATTTGCATGGCATGTCTCGAGCAAGGTTTTCATCATTCTCTTGATCCGTCTTCCTTGTTGTTTGGATCTGCATACAAAGTTGTAATTTCTGTGCCTGTTTTGATGTTTTTCTTTGCAAACATGGCAAATATCCTATGTTGCATCATCCTGTTGTTATTTTCCAAAAGTGGTCCATATGTTGGTCAATAAATTCTTTTATTTGGTCACAATGAAAAACACAAATATAACACTCTGAAACAGCAGTAGCAAGCCATCCAATATTGATTTGCAAGGAGAAAGTAAGGAAATTGTAACTGGGTCAGCATTCCAGGACATACAACAAGAATGAAGCGGGCAATTAGTTGGGAGCTTACATCCTCAATTTAAACAGGCAAAATAACTGTGTTGGCGCTACAGGAATGATTGACAAACCAAGAAATACTCTGGTGTTTGTCTGCTCAAATAACAATGGGCCCTTTGTGGTCATCAAGGAGTCCCAACCCTTTGACTTTGAAGCAACACTGGAATAAAGGCAGGAGTCAGCTTCATGTCACCTGACATGTACTGCCCTCAAATATTTTGTGGTGTATGTGTAGGGGGATGAATCAGATGGAAGACTTACAAAACGCATCAACACTATAAATAGACTCAATTACAGTCTCCTTTGGTTTGGGTGATTTGCTTACTTCCTCCTTGGCTTTGAATGAGGAATCAATCATCAAGGGGTCCAGTGATGTTCCAAAGGTTACTAGCACTTGTGAGCATCTGAGGATTGCTTGCCTTCATAGAGCAAAACTAGCCCTTAACTTGCAAGACTGTTTTGGTTAATTGTCTTTATCCACCATGGATCAAGGGCAAACAGGTGAGTTCTGATGTTTGATCATATTTACTATTGCCGTGCTCATGAGCCATTGTGTTGGAAATCAGCTCGCCACTGTTGATGTCCCATCTTGATCAGTGCTACCCAGGGGGTTTACCATACACATTAGGAATCAATCAACTAAGGAAAAAAGGGAACACACCTCTAATGTGTGACAAGTTGGCCAGTGGGAATTTTATGGTCAGCAAAAACACCTAAAAGTAGGGTGCATAAATCTGATCAGCTGCTGTTTCTGGTGCTCTGGAATCAAGTGAGCTACTAACCCCAACCAGATGAAAGTGTCTTCTGAATGGATGATTGCTCTCAAAGGCCCCTGCCAACTGTCTAAAGCATTCAAATAGTATTAGAATTGTGTGCAAACAGTGTTGGAATCTCATCAAATAGAGAAAACTTACTCTATTGATGCAGTTACGGCTACACCCACACTGCATGACATATCATGGTCATGATCAGTTGTTGAAAGAATCAGGGGCCAACTCAAAGCTATTGTCTTACTTTGGAAAGCTATTGTCTTACTTTGGAGCTACATTCAAATACTGGGAACAAATATTCCAGGAACAATTTGGCCATAGACCTGGGGCATGATCCCATTGTTGGGTTTCTTGGAGTGAGAATGTTGTGGTCTGTGATTGAAGACATGGGCAAAGCCTTGAAGGTCTTGCACACTCCAATCCAGGTTGACATCGGGTGTCTTGGCGGCTTGTCTGACCATCTTTGACTGATAGATCAACACTTGCATTTTGGATTGTCTGAACAGTCCTCACACTGGCATTGCCAAGTGGGAGGAGTTGGCCCCTTGTTGTTTTGGCAGACCACCCTGGTTTGAATTGGCCAAAGGGTGTGAGCTTGGAAAAGCTGGCAAAATTATTTGTTGTATACAGATTCAAGTGGTGGAAGACATTTCCATATTACCGTTTGACAATTTTGGCATTCCCTTTGAATGAGAGGTGTTCATGAGGTTTGCATGTTGGGATTGTTCCTTTGTGAGCTCTCTGGCATGTAAATATCATTCATTTCTTTTAGAGAGCGCATTGAAATCCTGAGAGCAAACAAAATGTGAGTCAGTTTGGTTGAGACTACAGATCCAGCTCAGGTAGTCTTTTGTAACTTGACATTGGCTTGATTAACTGACCCACTGAGAGCTACTACAAGTATCCCTGTGATTGATCAATGAGCTCACCGTGTTTGGCTGGCCAAATGCCTTTCCAAAAAAGGACAGGATGGGACATTTCAGCCAGGTTTTTTGGGATACTGTGGGGAGGTATTGG